GCAGAGAGAAAGGGACATTTTTAATCAGCATGAAATTTTAGCAGAAGCTGTAAACTTCTATAAAGAACTATATAGCACAGATAATATTGTGCCTGAAAATGTTGATGAATACCTGTCAGATATTACATTAGATAATACACTTACAGATGATGAGAAAAATGATATAGATAAACCAATTACCTTAGAAGAATGTGAGCAAGCCCTAAATGAAATGAAAAATAACAAAACCCCTGGTCCTAATGGACTTCCTTCTGAATTCTTTAAACGGTTTTGGAGTATTTTAGGGCCCCTAATACATAAATCATTTCTAGAAGGTTATCAAAAGAAAATTTTAACTTATTCACAAAGGACAGCCCTCCTTAAATTATTACATAAAAAATATGAGCTATATCTTTTAAAGAATTGGCGACCTATAAGCCTACTAAACTGTGATTACAAGATTATAGCCTTTACCTTAGCCAATAGAGTTAAAAAGATACTTCCAAAACTTATAAACCAAAGTCAAACAGCATACATTGAAGGAAGATTTATCGGACAAAACATTAGAATCATAAATGACATAATCTTTTATGCTAAGCATGAGAAAAAGACTGGAGCTTTATTATTCTTAGACTTTGAAAAAGCCTATGATTCTATAAACAGAGATTTCATGTACAAAACCCTCCACAAATTCAACTTTGGCCCAGCATTTATAGAATGGATAAAAGTACTATATACGGATACATGCTGCAATATATTGAATAATGGCTGGATCTCAGAGTCCATAGAATTAAATAGAGGTATAAGACAGGGTTATCATGTTTGCTTTTTATATTAGTAACAGAGATTATGGCCACTAAGATAAGGACATCTAAAGACATAAAGGGGATTTTAGTTCCACATAATGAGGGTAGTGAGGAATTAAAAATAAGTCAGGTAGCTGATGACACAACATTATTTTTAGCTGATGAACTTTCAATACTAAATGCAGTGGAGGTTATAACTGAATTCGGTAAGGTAGCTGGAACTAAACTTAATAAAACTAAAACCCAGGCTATGTGGATAGGTGTGTGGGAGAGAAATGATAAAAGAATTTTAGATTTAGATTGGACTAAAGAACCAATTAAAGCACTTGGGGTGTACTTTGGCCACAACCCGAGTGTATGTGAACTCTTAAACTGGGAAAAGAAAATAGAGAAGTTAAAGAACACCTTTAATCTGTGGAAAAATAGGAAACTAACCCTGTATGGTAAAGTAATAATCATTAAACAACTTGCACTGTCCCAACTAATTTATAACTTCATTAATATTGATACCCCAGAATGGGCAATAAAGGAGGTTGAAAGGATATTATATAACTATCTTTGGAAAGGTAAACAAGATAAAATCTCCAGAAGCAGTATAATTGGTGATTACAGTGAAGGTGGAATAAAAATGGGTAATGTTAGATGTCAGATTCAAAGTCTACAGGCCTCATGGGTCAGGAGATTCTGTAATGGACCTATGTCACCCTGGAAACTGATACCTAACTTTTACCTTAAAGATTATGGGGAAGATACTTTGATCTTTAAAATGAACTTTAAAAATAAAGACCACTATCCGGTTACATCAATACTACCCAACTTCTATAAATCTGTTATCCTTGCTTGGCACCAAGCAGGAGGGGGGTTTAAAAAGCAACCACAAACAGTAGAGGAAATTCTTAAGAGCGAATGTCCGTAAGGATCAAACAATGGTGGCACCGGTCAAAAAATCGATTTGGCTCATTTTTTGCACAGTGATAGTACTTGGTACATAACCCCTCAGAATAGCTTTCTTTTTGCTCAGAACCCCTTGTTGCCATGGCAACGGGTCAAAGATGTTTCCATGGCATTTGTCCAGATTTTGGCATGTACAAAACATAGAAATTGGCTAACTTTAGGGCACTATAACTGATCAGTGCTTTAGCGTAACGACAAGAGCAACATGTGCTGATCAGAGCAATGCCGAAACTTGTATAAAATAGCTGTAAAGCCAATGTTCAGTAAAATCTAAGGTGTTGGACACTCTGAATACAATGCACTGTTTTAAGGGTGTAAAAAAACTGAAATTTTGCCCAACTTTGAAGCACTGTCAGTCCCAAAAGGGGAAAATGTTTTGCTTGAAATTTACACTGCATAATAAACCACTCCAGAGGTATCAGATGCATGCTTTCAAAGTTTGGGTTCTTGTTCCGTTGCTACGCACTTGTCCCTTGAAGTAGGTCAGTTTTCGTTATTTTGATGATATGTCATTTTGTGCTACCTTTGAACTAACATACGCTCCAAACCAAACTAGTTCTTTACTTGAAATTTACTTGAAGTATATAACAACATATTGTCTATGAAATGAATGCTTGCAAAGTTTGGGGTCTTGTTTCGTTGCTACGCACTTGTCCTTTAAAGTAGGTCAATTGTCGTTATTTTGATGATATGTCATTTTTTGCTATCTTTGAACTAACATACGCTCCAAACCAAACCAGTTCTTTACTTGAAATTTACATGAAGTATAAAACAACAAATTGTCTATGAAATTCATGCTTGCAAAGTTTGGGTTCTTGTTTCATTGCTACGCACTTGTCCTTTAAAGTAGGTCAGTTTTCGTTATTTTGATGATATGTCATTTTGTGCTATCTTTGAACTAACATAAGCTCCAAACCAAACTAGTTCTTTACTTGAAATTTACATGAAGTATAAAACAATAAATTGTCTTTGAAATGCATGCTTGCAAAGTTTAGGTTCTCGTTTCGTTGCTACGCACCTGTCCTTTAAAGTAGGTCAGTTTTCGTTATTTTGATGATATGTCATTTTGTGCTATTTTTGAACTAACATAAGCTCCAAACCAAACTAGTTCTTTACTTGAAATGTACATGAAGTATAAAACAACAAATTGTCTATGAAATGCATGCTTGCAAAGTTTAGGTTCTTGTTTTACTGCTACGCGCTTGTCCCTGAAAGTGGGACAATTTTTTTTAGTTTGATAGTACGTCATTTTGTGCTACCTTTGAACCACCATAAGTTCCAAACCAACATTGGTTTGTACATGCAATTTACGTGAAATATAGAAAAATATATTTGTCAATGAAGTGCAAGTTTGGGGTCGACCTTGTTTTGTTGCAGTGAAACTGGCCTTGAAACTGGGTCATTTTTTTCAATATGTCATTTTGTACTATCAATTTAAAGTATCATAAGTTGCAAACCAATATTACTTGCATTTGAAATACAAAATTTAATGCTATTTTGCCCATCCCTTAGGGGCAACATAGCATGACACCCAGTTCCTAGACTATAGTGAATCTCCCCTTGGCTCCGTGGTCAGGGAGAAGTCCTTATCTCTTTCATCTAGAGTTCTTCCTGCCTTATCTTCTTTTGTCCAGACAGAACATTTGTACCCTGTCTAGCCCTGAGACAAACAACATTGCATTCAGATCTTGGAAATTTCGTCCCCATCCGGTTTAGAGAACAGTTAGATCCGTTTTTGCCATCTTTATTTAGCTGTCAGACTGTGGTTGGATCATAAACAAAGTTTCTGACTTAAATAAGACGGGAATCGGTTTGATGTAGTGGACTTTGAATCAGTGACATCTATGGCCTGTTGGACCATCTGCAGCAAAACAACACTTTCTGCAAGAGCACTACAAAAACTGGAAAGTTGTAGAATATGGTGGGCAATTTCTTCGTATTACAGGGTTATATTTCTGCTTGTGCAGGTCGATTTTTTTTAAAATTTCCTGCACTTTTGTTGCAGTATCTGTAACTGCCATTGTGAAGGTTATAATTTATTCAATTTCAGTATCATTTGTAAACAAGGTAAACAGAAACTGCAATATCTTCCAACCCATGCCTTTCTTTTAACTTACAGGCCTTATGCATCATGTCGTGTTCGTTTGCTGATCATACCCTTAACTACTTGTAGCAA